ACAGAAATATACCCACTTCCAACGCAAAAAAGGGTCCAAACGTTTAGCGCTAAATTTTCTCACTTTCTTTTTATCTCTTTTTTAAATACCGGGAAATTCAGGGTAGGGAATACAACCGGACAATGGATTTTGCAACTTGGGAAAACGAGGTACGTAAAAAGTACTCCAAAGTATCAAGTGGAATTAACATTTGTGAACGAGAACAAGTTTGCCCTAATGAAAGTGATAACCTATCCTGCCAAGAATATGTTGTTTAAAACAATTAGTGTGACGTATGTTTACACATTTTTGACTGCTGGATTCCAATTATTGTCACATTAACCAATTATTCTGTTGAGGTTGCTTACCCAATTTTGTCAATATAACGGAACTATAAACAACTTTCATACAAGTGGGAGGTTTAGATAGCTATAAAACCAGGTTTAACCCACCATTTTCTTCGGAATAATGCCTGTCAGGAATGTGGTAGTTGTTTTTTTCACTTGTTCCGTTGATTGATAGCGTTTCATTTTGTCAGTTATTATGGACTTCCCCTTTTTGAATTTGCTTTGGAGTTCAGTATTTTTGTTATACTTTTTTGGTAGTTACTACTGGAGGAAAGGAGTTATGATTTGGATAGACGTGTGCTAAACAAAAATATATTAGAAAAATGAAAATGACATTATCAAGTTGATGCATTACTCATCAACGAACAGTTTATTTCTATATTTTTTTTAAATATATAATATTTTCCATTTTTCCCCAGGAAATAATGAACAAGCGTCACATTGCGTTTCTTAAGTGATCTTGTCACGTTTTGATGCAAATTTCACCGTCATTTTCGCTCCATTAATTCAACAATTTTCTAAAGCCAGTGATAAATCTTGCTATTTTATCCAAAGATAACACACATTTGGCTCTTGAGTTCACTGTTATTCGCCTTTCCGTTTTATCCAGAGATAACACACATTTGACTCTTGATTTCACTGTTATTCGCCTTTCCGTTTTATCCAGAGATAACACACATTTGACTCTTGGTTTCACTGTTGTTCGCCTTTCCGTTTTATACAGAGATAACACACATTTGACTCTTGATTTCACTGTTGTTCGCATTTCCATTTTATTTAGAGATAATACACATTTGACTCTTGGTTTCACTGTTGTTCGCCTTTCCATTTTATTTAGAGATGATTTCATTGTTGTTTGCCTTTCCGTTTGATCCAGAATTGCAAATATTTTACTCTTGAAATTTTTGTTGTTCTTTTGTAATGCTGATCCATTTTGTTAAATACCCAATAAAATATGCAAAAGCAATACAAATACTAAAAGAATAAACAATTCTACGAAATGTGAAGCATTATTTACAACTTACTCTCAATAGACCAGAAGGATTCTCGATCAACAGACTTTTCATACAAACGTTGATCAACGGATTGAGTCTTCAATAATCCAAATGGTACCTTTGTAAAATTGAGATTTTCTCCCCCGTGTTTGCAAGCGTTTCTATTCATAGAAAGTATAAATGAGCATTTCCTTCTTCATCTCTGCTTTAAATGATAAATAGGGAGGTAACAAGTCGTCACATAAAATTGTTTTTGTTAATGTTAAATACTTGTATTGTTTAGATTTGTTGTTTCGTAACTATCCTGTGGTTTGTATTCTACACTAGTAAAATGCTTATCTTATCTTAAAATGAGGGGAAAAATTGCTGCATCCAAAACTCCTTTGTGGATGTACCTTTATCGGGAACGCTCATACCCAACATATTGAAATTCATGATGTATATCGACATAAACTCGTGAAGAGCTAGATGAAAGATGAAAGGGAAAATATTAGAATAAACGACATAATAGAAATTGATTTTCACCTGATTCTATTGCGAATTATGATGAACTGCGTTACTCGATGACAGGAAGGAGATGCTCAACCTGCCAAGTAAACGCCTCCAATCCCAGTCATTTTGGAGATCATTTCTACGGTGTTTACACTATGAAGTATCTTACCTCTACATCCCCATTGTTGCATATACAGTCATTGACATTTTGTTTTCTCGAACTTAAATGTTACACTTACAAACGAAGAGAACTTTATAAACAACTAATACATTGTATATGACTTCCAAAACTTTCATGAAAAGGGCAACATTTAAATACTTTTACAATTGATAATCAACTTTTTGAGGTCCTGAGCATTTTTAAATCAATTATACAAAGAAAACCGAAATTTGAGCAGTTCATGATACCGGGTCTAAAGTCCCAATAAATCTTCTTGTTTGGAATGTTTTCAAATTACCATTATAAGCCTGGTACCTTTGATAAATATTCCAAACATGGATATGATAACGGATTTGTTTTTCAGAACCGTTGACACTTTTGTGCTATTATAGCCATAAGTGGGCACGTTTCAAAGTCCTACTACACCAGCCAGCAATGTTTGGCATATAGTTATACGTTTGAGGGATTGGACACCTTTGAACGGAAGGACACGCCTGTTAGTGTAAGAAATTGTTGCAATGTTCTCTTTTTTAATTGTGGGTGTGAGAGTCTTTTATGAAAGTACCAACAATTGAAATAGAAAGAAGACGGAAGATACCAAAGTGATTTTTAAACTCATAAATCGAAGACAAACTGACAAAGCCATGGTAAAATACGAAAAAAAAAACCAAGTATACAAAACACAACATAAAAAACTAATGACTGAGCAACACGATCAAAATCTAAAAAAACAGTGGTGGTCTCAGGTGCTCCGGAAGGGTAAGCAGATCCTGCTCCATATGGGGCATTCATCTTAGAGAAGAATTTGATTTGCTTCCTTGTATAATACAATTGTTACATGTCAATGTTTAGGTCACAACTTTTACAATCATTTAGGGTGCTAAGTGCTTTACCAAAGCATAACTGTTTTGAAAAACTTCAATGAAATGTATCAAAATTGGGATCACAGCCTTTTTAAATCTAATTCGCCACATGTATCTCTGTCAATACTATGATGTCGAAAATGAGGGACACAAGGAGAGGCCACCAGAGATCATTAACATATAAGGGTCAGACAGGGCATGTTGGATAGAATTACAAAGTAAATAACAACCAAAGTCAAGAGGAGACAATTCAAATACAATAAAGAAAATCAAGTTTATCTATATAATTTTATAATTACTCTAAATATCAGCACAACAATACTTAGAGTAATTATGAATATAATATTGTTTTCAGCCGTGTATCACCTTCACTGGTAATCCAATGCATGGATCTGTCGTAGAGTTGTCACTTGTTTAGACGTACTTATTATATAATTTTATTTATCTTACCTTCTATAGGTTTATGTGGATATGATTGGTTAATCGACTTCACGTACGTGGTGACCATATAATACCACATGGGAAGATAGTCGGTAAGATAAATTCGTTACACGGTGTGCTAGTGACCTAATACGATCGCTCTCACCCAATATGGAATTTACTGACCCCATATATATCGTATTAGGTCACTAACACACCATGTAACTAATAATATGTATAAAAATATCAGTAAACATCATAGAGAGCAATTTTATGATGCACACAAATCACTGTCCAATATTTTGTAGGTATTTTTAATCATAGTTATCGCACCTGTAAGAGTTGGTAATGAAGTGTTAAAGCGACATGTATAAATGTAATACTTAACCAGAACAGTGAATAAGTTTATTAAACATCCCATGACTCTGACCCAAGAACAATATTTTTTTTGCATTTAATATTAAAGTTAAATAACATTTAAGTTGAAAAAGTGCTGAAATTTCTGTCCATAAATTTCAAACTCGATTCCAATTTTACTGCACCAGAAGCCCATTTCTACAATTAATGTCTGCTAGATGTGCTTTCCACTATTATTCTTCTCACAAACTTCTAGAACATTTTTCTAAAACTTTGAAATCTTGGATTATCTTTCAGTTTGGAAATATTTACTCCATATGCAAATCCAGCTTGTATGGTGCTCCATAGAAATTAAAAGTTTACAATGTGGGAATTCAAGTAATCTCTTTTGTCTTAAAGTTTAGACACATCTTTTAAATTCTATAGATGTAAGTCAAGGTAACAGATCCTATAATCATGAAATCCTCCGACTAACGATTTCTAAGAACTGCCGAGTAAGAACAAATGTATTTGTAAGGAAAATAAAAAAAGAAGAAACGTGGCTAAAAATGTCTTCCCAACACCGTTCGGAATCTTAATAAAATGGATTGGAAAACTTGACTGACTCGCTACCTTCTGTTCATATTCAATAAGATTAGAATGTTGACTCGTCTTTATTTAACGTTTGTAACTAATTCATTGTTCGACTAATCGAAATAATAGGGAATGTATTGGGGGAGGGGGATTAACCTCCTTATTTTAATATGACTTCCAAGTCAGGATCATTGTCCATAGTTATTGCTGCCCATTGATATCTTTTGTCGATTGAGAAGTTAGTGTTCTGTCAGATGTTTGGTCGTAACTCACAGATTGTCTTTTAAGTTACCCTTTACTACTTTTATATCATCAAACCGGAAATTGTCACAGCAATATCAGATCAAATTTTATTTTTTTTATTTTTGGACGGATTATCAAGAAATCGTAATTCTAAATGAAAATTGACGTTCTCATTTTTACCTAACATGTAGATCACCCCCAGTTTTTGGTGGGGTTCGTGTTGCTTAGTCTTTAGTTTTCTATGTTGTGACATTTGTACTATTATTTGTCTGTTTGTCTTTTTATTTTTGGCCACGGCGTTGTCAGTTTGTTTTCGATCTATGAGTTTGACTGTCCCTCTGGTATCTTTCGTCCCTCTTCTATACATTTAGAGATATATTTTAAGAATGTTTAAGTTAATTGTATCTTTTGAAGAATAAATACAGCATTTATCATATTTCGATATTCAAATGTAGTTCAGCGATTTCTAGATGCATACAAAATCCCAATTCTGTCAATTTAACTTTAATGAAAAGAACATTCTCAAGTTTTTAAACACTCAAATCTTTGAAATTATATAGAATCAAGAAAATGAATTTTTATTTTTTATTCATTTTTGTGTTATCCGACAATTGGTCCCCCAACTGAAGTATGTGTATTGTCGTGAATCCATTGTAGGAACGTGTAAACTTCATTGTATACACCTGGGTATCCTGGTTGTGCACATCCAAATCCCCAACTACTTATACCTGAAATTAAAACAGAGAAAAGTGTAATCTGCGTTCTTTATTGAAAGACTTTTACATAACTGACTGATATAAACGTATTTACACTTTTGGTATTTAGCTGAATTTTTGTCTCCTAATGACCCGAGTAATGACCTAAAATCTGTCTCCGAATAACCTTCTGACGTCAAGCAACAATCACTTTTTAATTATGACGTCATTTTTTTAAATTGTGATGTCAAATTTTACGGGAAATAGTGTGATTTTAAGTAATTGTGGACTAATTTGCATACAAGTGTAAATACGTCTATTGACTAAGACAGATGTCACTATAATCGTGTAAAACCAATCACTTATAAATTCACTCTGATTATATATATATATAGATTCTAACATTGATACCAGTGGATTATCGGATTTATCCAATCGAGATAGTTAAATTATCAATTTTAAAGTCCGAGCCTCGGCGAGGACTTTAAAATTTATAATTTAACTATCGAGATTGGATAAATCCAATAATCCACGAGTAACTATGTAAGAATCTGTTTCTCTAATGTTTAATAAATAAATTTTCATTTTTTTGTTAAACGAAAGTCCCCTTCGAATGCCTTCCACATTCCCCGAAGTTGTCAATTTCATTAACACCTGTTGGCATATTATGATACATCCAGTGTGCTGATAAAGGTTTTGACCCTTAAATTCATCCAATCATCTTCTGAGATCAACGGCAACCACACGTTGATTAAATTTTTTTATACAATGGGTTCGGAAAGGAATAAATTTCCATAGAATTAGAGAAATGATATATATAGTGTTATTTTCTCACATTAGAAAGAAATATTCAGCTGAAGTTGTTCATATTAATTAACATCGGTGTTTTAATCATTGCTGATACGACAGCTTATTTTTTTTTTTTTTTTTTTTTTTTTCAGAATCAACGCTTCGTAAACAGATCTAATATTATATTATGTATACCAGTATGTTCATCGTATGACATCTATTGACTCTTTTTTGATATATTTTATAAAGTGGTTTATTTTTCATATGACGTGAGGGCTGCCGGAGATCAAAATAAACATTTGTTTTGGTGTTGCTCGCTGGTAAATTAAATAAAATCATTCTAAAAATAAGTCTACATGTTTTTGGTTCATTTTTTTTATCGTGAAACAGTTGATTTTCTATATCGTTTTGGCTTCATCAAATCGAAATGTCTGCCTTTCGAACGTGTATTGTAGGTCAGCTTCGAAGTACAAAAGTTCTAAATTTTCCTATAAGAATCGAAATAATACACGCAAATTTTGTTTCGTCCTCCCAATTCAATAAAAAAAAAGTGTTTGCACTTAAAAATTATTTCTTATACGCCTTCATTTTTCCATAATAAGGATAATTTCTGCTTCATACCCATCCAATGGAAATTTCAATAATGTATACCGAAAGTGCGAATTTTTGTTTTAATATTTGAATCAACTACGTTTATACTTCTAATAAATGAATGTTATTAATGAACCATGCAGTTATTTGAGCTCACTGATATAAAGTGACATCTAATTAAATTAAGTCTAGGTTAGTCTTTGAAAAGGTATATACTATGAAATTTAGAACGAAGGGCTTGCCCCGAGCTCTTAATTTCATAGTATATACCTTTTCATAGACTATCCAATTTAGCACATATTTACAACTCGAGTAATCTTTTAATTGGTCTATTGATAGTTTATTTTGGCTGACTACTTGTATCACATGTGTTTGTAAAACGGAGCTCATTAACGAAATTTTGTAAATCTACTCACTATTATCATTGTAAAATATGTGATTTCAAAAGGCCCTTGACTCCAGAATGAAAAGATGGTAGCTGCTGGGGTAAGTATGTTTATTGATATAAAGCGGTGTTTTACTATACATGTACGTCTTTACGTGGTTAGATGACAAAATAAATTGACCAAAAGCAGGCAATAATTAAATTGAAGTGGAAGCTTTACATGTCTTGAAAACAATTTTCAATTTCACAGTAAAACTAAAGCTATAATAAATTTAAAACATATAGATAGTATGCAGTGGTGGATCCAAAGGGGGGGGGGGGGAGGGGGGGGGGGGGGGTCAGGGGATTGCAAAACCCCCTTTTTTGGACGATCAATGCTTTTGAATGGGGACATATGGTTGGAACCCCCCCCCCCCTTTATCCTGGGTTGGAACCCCCTTTTAAATGGCTGGATCCGCCCCTGGTATGTCCCAATAGATAGTCTAGCGGATAGTCATTAAAAAGCAACTACCAATAGATCAAAGATACTAGGGTTTGTTTATTTTATTCATTTCAAAGTAAAAACTAAAAGATTTATCAGAACATATATATATATATATATATATAGGTGGCACATTCTCTTCAGACATTATCACGGTTTTTTCAACTAATGACATCGTCCTGAACATGCATGAAATATTTGCCACTGTACATTAAGCAAACAATAATCAATCAATCAATCAATCAATTCATGACGAAAAGTTGCCTTAATATCCCTTCACAAGGTTTCATAGTACACACTTTTTGCTGTACAAAGTAATTGCATGGATGATAAATTATCACAATTTTAAGATGGCGTTGTACTCTAATCAAGGTATAAGGAACCATAGTTGTTACTCTTTATTTAAATGAAAGAAACTTGCAATCGTCAAGAACATTTTTTTTAGATCCAAATATTTTAATAGCAGGATATTTAAAAATCAATGTGAAAACTTATTACAAATTATTTAATTTAATTTGGAACACAGCATTTTATTTCAAAATAGCCAGTGGCATTTTTTGTTTTAATATCTTGATTACGATACAATGAAATCTTACCCTTGTGGTCATGCGTAGTTACTTAGTACATGGAAAAAGTATGTACTATGAAAATTAGAAGGCAAATTCAAGCAATTTGATTGGACGAGAAGTTGTATGTGCTAAACAACTGTGATTATAAATACTATGGCTCGTTATTAAGATATTATTCGCTCCTCAAGCTAATATCTTTAAACACCGTGAGAGAACTGCTCATTATAAATCCCTTTTAATTTTTTATTATTGTTTATTATATCTCCCTTGTAGGAATCGTGTAAACATGTATAATTAACTCTGTTCATTTTTTTTTTAAGATTTTGCTTAATACAGACCAACTAATTCCCATTCTCCTTTGGTATTTTTACATGCAAATGGTACCCCAGAGTCAAACTGAAATATAAGCACAAATATGAATATTTGATAATCTGTTATTTCACAAAAATGTCTATATACGGATTCACTTTTACATTCCATTTAGTGGATACCTTTAGCTTATAGCATACACACAAAATTGATGTAAATATTAATCAAAGTACTGAAGTACTGAACATCGGATGACTGCAAGTTCTTGTGGATGGTCACAAGCACTTGTCTCAGAAAAACAAATCACATCTCTATACCTGAAAGTGAGGTTAATGTACAGATATAATTTTTTTTCTTAGACAAGTTCGTGCGTGGATGATAAATAAATGACAGGGAATTCAACCTCACCGTAATAAATATGATATTGAAGTGATACAAAACAGTATACTCTGGTTTGTTGTTACATATTATATTAATATTTGTATATTACAGTTGCATGTATATATAATTTTCATCCATTTGTATATCATTCTATTCTACTATATTTATAATAGTGCAGTGCAAGTGCATGGTGGACACTCTTCTGTAATAATTCGATTTTTCGAATAGATTGGATTTGAGTAGGCATTCATATTTTCCCGCCAAACTTTCAATCTCCCATGCAGAGTTATCGGTCCTTGAGAGAGAGCGAGGACCGATAACTCTGCATGGGAGATTGCAAACGTTCTTGAGATATTCTTTCGCGTGCGTTAACACACATTTTCTGTACGTGTGCATGGATATTAAAGATGTTTAACTTATATTTTGCACTCGATAATGTCCGCGTATTTATCATGTTTATAGAGCGGTTACAATCCCAACACGAAAGTTACGTAATGGAAATCTAGGCGACAGCAATAAACCGGAATGCCCTCACGGTCATCCGATGTAAAAACAGATATTTACGTCAAATAAATATGTGCACACATGGGAAAAAATAGTATATGATTCTATTGATGGCGAAGTTTATTGACATTCAACCGAGTTTAAGATGATAACCAATAAAATAGTCTTTCATTAAGTGCCCATCATGAAGGGGAAAGCGGGATGTACATGTCACTTAATAGAAGGAGGTATTCAAAGGGAGTAATAAAATCTTAATATACTCAACCGATTTAACGGCTGCACTAATGAGATTTAAATCAAAAGAGAGTCAAGATACAAAGGGGCCAATCAAAATGCATGAGTCTAATAAAAACAGACAACGCTATGGCTCTTTCAATTGTCGCATCTATTACAGGGTTTTCTATATTGTTTCTTTATAGGTATGATATGGTTTTGAATGAGTAACAATGTGTTCCATTATACACATTAACGTTTGGTTTAAACATTTTAAAATGGAAAACAAAACTTTCACATTACTAACAATAAAGCATGATTCAAATTGCACATTTTTAAACTTTAGTTTATCCTTTTTTTTAACTAATTTTCAAATCGTCAGATTTTTCTTTTTTTTGCATTCAGCATTTGACAAAAAACATATGAATGAAAACATACGAGAACATCACTTCTCTTTTCATAATTTTTACGCCTTTTTAAAAAATAATGATGTACCATAGCGTCATTTTAATGATATTAATTTGAAGACATTGTAAGGCGTCAATAATGACACAGACAGAACTCATTATATGTTATTTTTAATGTAGTAACCTGAACAAATTTAGTGTTAATTTGAAAACGGAAACCAGAGACAAATGTTAATACAGAATAAGGTTATTTTAATGAAATTGCAATAACTTGATATTCATGCATTTGTATTCTTTTTATCATTTTGAATCCATTGTTCGTTTCTATTTATCGTTTTGTAAATAAAAGGTCTTTTCCATAATGTGTATGTATTATAATGGTAAAATAGTTTAAAACAAAGTAGATTTGACCTAAAACTTAACGAAAGCTAGAAAATGTGAAAGTTCAATACAAGCCAAATTATGTAAAATTATGAAGAAACTCAACCCATATTTTTACTCTTTTACAACAATTATTAATATGTGTTTTACATTTATGCAGTACAAAATAGGAACAACATTGCAGGAAAGCCGATTATTTTTTTAAAAGTCCACCACTACTTAAAATAACAAAATATTGTCACTTTGAAGCTCAACACATGAATCATCTTCATTCTAGCAAGTTTTATTCTTTACAAAAGAAGTTGAAATGTTTCCAAATACTACACATATTTCTTTGATTGTAGTGTGAAGTGAAAACAAGTCAATCCATTTCAATGATTTAATTTCTAAACATGATCTTTCTTTCAGATTTCTCAGAATCTCTTCAAAGTTTTCAGAATCCACATTTGCATGGTAAATGCTACTAGTTGAACAAAAATCCTTGTACAAAAATAAGAAGATGTGGTATGATTGCCAATGAAACAACTCTCCATCAGAGACCAAAGTTAGCAAATAAAAGATGATTTTGCAATTTAGATTTATCACAATTTAATAATTTGGCCGAAGTAATGAGGAGACAGTATTTTATATTTGTATTCCTTTTATTGAGAGAATGTCGATTATAGCTCTGTGCATACACTCATATCTTGACCTTATCTATATGAGGGTCAGTTGAAAACAAAACTTTACGACAAAAGAGATGATTTCGGGTTTCAAATTGTAAACTTTCCATTTCTATGTACACCATTTTAGCAGCGCATGCATATAAAGTTTACCTTAGTATATCTTTAAGTTGATACAATATTCTAGAGCATGCGTTTCATAACATGATTTACTTTATAGATATTTGCCGCTTAATAGGAAGCTGTTGAACCAAGGGTTCCGTTATAGATTATTTGTGTAACAAATGACCACGAATATATTCCAATTGTCGTACCCACAATCCTGTCCTCTATTCCTCGATTGTGAAACACTGAAAGAGACTTAGCACCGATTTTGTACTAGCCAAGAGTAACACGACGGGTGTCACATGTGGAGCAAAATCTGCTTACCCTGACATGCACCGGAGATCATCCCGGTTTTTTTGTGGGTTCTTGTTGTTCAGTCTTTAATTTTCTATGTAGTGGTTGGTAGACTGTTTTTTTCTTTTTGTTTCGTCGTTTTGTCATGTTTTGATCGGTGACTCTTCGACTTTTGATTGTTCTTTTGGTATCTTCTGCAACTGTTTATGCACATGCCAATTATATGATACGTTTTTTCAGCATACTGCCATTACAGAAGGTGTTAAAACCTTGCTTCAGAAATTATCAAAAATTATAAGCTGTACTGGATCGGACAGCAATACTCTCGAAAAAGGAATATCGTTTGCCTTTAACACTTATATTTAGATTTCCTCATTCAGTAAAACAGAATGCCATGCAATTTTATAAATTTTATCAGAATTTTTTAACTTTCCCTTGTTTTCTCGTACCTTCTTATATATATAGTCCATACTTATCTTTTCTTATGCTTAACTAACAGAAAAATATATAAAATAAATCTACGTACACTACAGGCATCAACTCCACCCTGAACTAAATTTCCAGCACACAACATTGAATGGTTATTATAACCAAATACACTTAATGCAGTTGCACAGTCAACGTCAGCAATTATAGGCTTGTAAACTTCATGAAGCCTATCAACTGGTGATCCACCTTAAACGACAAAAACAGCAATAATATTTCCACGAAAAAACTAGTAAAACAATCGTAAGATATAAATCACCAATACCAGAATGTAATGAATACAATCATTATACAATTAATGGCGATAGAAATATAGATTCATATTATCCATCAGTCATATTACGAACAGAATTATGACAATTGCAAATCAAATGAAACAGATTAAAGGTTGAGAACAGATGCTTCAGAGCAGGGCGAATTTCAAAACTGGTCACACAAAGATATCACATTGCGTGCTGTAATAATCGACCAACCTATCTTTAATATCATTGTCATTGACTATCCACAAGTGCTTATGCCGCCATAAACATATTTGAAAGTTTAATAGTCATTCGTAAGGATGTGTACCCTTTGTAGGTCCATCGAGCTCATGCCAGTTGTAAAACTAACTTAATTGTTGAGAGCAAAACTACAGACGGGAACCGGAGATGAATGAACTGGTGAATTACACGGTCTAAGCTTTTTGGCAACTGAAAATACATACGAAAGGCTTTATATAACGTAAGAAGATACTAAAAGGTCAATCCAAATATCATTATTCGAAAAAAGACAGGCAACACCATAACCAAAATTTTTCGAAAGACAAACACGAAAGTTGATGGAAATCCATAGTTTAAACATTATGTTCTGTAAAAATGTTTGAAAAAACTCATCAAAGATATCAGAGTTATATTAGTTATCTTGGTGTAATCAGGGGTGTACAGAATTTTACACCGTTGTTGAAAATTCATACACCCTGAGGCGCAGCCGAATGGGTGTATGAATTTTCAACAACGGTGTAAAATTCCGTACACCCCTGATTACACCAAGATAACGAATTTATTTCTTATGAACAATTTCTTTACTCATTTTTAAACCAGGATGTAAAATTGAAAAATGGTAATGAAAAATTTCCAGTGTAACATTTTTTCAACGTCGTTGTCAAATATTTTTTTCTTTATTTTTTGGAAAATTCAGAAAATTTTTGTGTTCTTTTGAATTTTTTGGAAAACATTTTTTTTAAATATTTAAAAAAAAAAAATTTCAATTTTTGTCCTCAAATTTATTTATTTTTTTTATTTTATTTTTTTTTTTTTTTTTGACATTTTATTATATTTTTTTTTTTTTGAATTTTTTTTTTTTTTTTCTTTATTTTGGCAAAATTTTATTTTTTAAAATTTTTTAGCAAAATTTTATATATCCCGGGTTGAACAAGGGTGGGGTGTTATTTACACCGGGGTAATTAACCAATCAGATTGGAGTATTTTTGCTGCATAAGAAATAATAGTTTTTACACCAGACGCGCGTTTCGACTTGAAAAGACTTATCAGTGACGCTTGAATCAAAAATTAGAAGTACGAAGTTGAAGATCATAAAGGACCCAAAATACCGAAATGGTTTTGCCAAATACATCTAACGTAATCTATCCCTGAGGAAGAAAATCCTTAATATTTCGAACATTTTAAAGAGTGTCGTCAGATCATTAAAGCTATTCTTTCTTCTTATTGTAAACATTGGTCAACACGGGGTTCATCTGATAAAAATCAAATGTAAGGAATATTGTAGATATTCGCATATCAGATTTCAAAAATATTTTTAAAATTAATACTAGCAAAAGGTTTTATTATACGATCATTTCTAGGATTAGAAGTAGACTTCAAATACTTCCGGATTAGTTTTCTACAAGTAATCTATTTGCCTTTTTAACTAGTTCCATGACTACAATTATTAAAGAACTATTAATACATTTTATAATGAAGCGTATGCAAATGATGGATTCATTAATTTTAGAGTATATAAATTCTTTGGGTGTTTAAGATAGATAACGTGTTTTTCAAAGTCCTTTTAATTATATTGACAGTTGTGACTTTTCGACTCTCTACACTACACTCCATATTCTAAATTCAATTTCATTGAAAATAAATATACCACTGACCGTTACCTTGAGGATAGTTTTACTTAGCGTAATCAAGAATAATACTGCGAAAATACACATAAGGGAACTGATATAAAATAAAAGTCCTTTTATAGATTTGGATATTTCAGTTTCACATCTTAATTTTACCGTGATGTGTTTATAGAGCTCGTAAATTTAGATACGATCAATGTAAACTTGTTAATCCTCTGAGTAAACTTATTCTTAAAGGTTATCAATTTGATATTAAGGAAGATCTTTGAATATTATCTTTATCATTACTAAGATTGACTTTGGTGTTCATAAACTAAAACATAACTAAATGTGTATAACTTATACAGTTGGATTCTTGATTTTTGGATGTTTTAACCTCAAGCTTCGCTGAAGAGACATTAAATGTCGAAATTGTGCATCCGATGCAGTATAATTTGTATCGTAGATGTTATTTTATCACTGGGTCGATACCTCTGCTGGTAAACTGTCAGTCCCCAATGGTATCATCAGTCCAGTAGCCACAATTTGATGCTGACATGAAAATACGGATGTTGTTAGATTGAAATTTGCTGTTTTTTTAAATCATTTTGAATTATGCCTCGAGAATCACTGAAGAGACATGAATTGTCGAAACGAGCATCTGGTGTAGTAAAGTTGGTACCATTAATGTTATCGTTCTACATCTTGTCAATACTTATGTTTTGGCATTGCACACTGTTTCTGACGTCTTTATACTTAAGTTATCATTTGGATGTGTTCTTGTTGATTTTTTTAATCTTGGGAAACATATCCTGTTATTTAGTTGAAATTGGCGTTTATATAGCTTGAAGTTACTACGAGTACTCTTTATATAGATCGATACTTTTTGTTTTTTGTTAATTGTTTGTTGCGCTACATGTCGATCTGATGTGTAACATATAAACACTTTCCAAATGATTTTGTAGTTTTTTCTTGTGCTTTGATTACACTATTGTTCCATGTTAGTGGTAGGGTTGATCGCTAACACATGTGTTCAACCTAGACACGTTCTTAATGTGCCATCTCAAAGTCAGGAGCCTCTAATTCAGGGGTCGCGATGGTTTCTGTCTGTCGTACTTGTTTCTCGATTATTGTTATTAGCATAAATCATGACAGTGGTTTTGATTGTTTCACATTTTGTCATGACAGGGTCTATAAGCTTAATATATGGTATTGGTTTCGCTCATTGTTGGAGGCTGTACGGTGACCAAAAATTGTTTAAATCCACGACTTTTGTACACTGGTGTATAGTTATTTAATTCGCAATCGTACCATTTGTTATTTAATACATGTATCAGATAAAGATGAGAATGGAAATGGGGAATATGTCAAAGAGACAACAACCCGACCAAAGAGCAGACAACAGCCGAAGGCTACCAATGGGTCTTCAATGCAGCGAGAAAATCCCGCACCCGGAGGTGGTCCTCAGCTGGCCCCTAACTAAAATTGTGTGCTAGTTCAGTGTTTTGATATTGTAAATGTTTTAAAAAATCTGACTGAGTTTTTGGAGATGTTTCTAAACTTTAAACTTAGAGAATGGATACATCATACGCCGCCTTGAGTGATATTCCAACATTTTGATTCATAATCACACACCTGAATATTTATTATCCCTTTATAACACCTGTCTACCTTTTTATAATGCTATGAAAGCCGACACTATTCAAAACTATTTTCCTTGCCTAATATGTCCTTTTCCGACAGATGTGAAATAATTATTAAGCCATGGAACATATTTGCCGTACAACCGGATGTAATCTACATTATTGTGCTCAGTGCATTAAATACAATTGGTTAAACAAATCAGCGTTATAATTAAAAACTATTGAAATGTAATAAAATGTAGGATGGAGAATAATTGCGTCGGACATTAATATTGCATTAGATTATAAATCTAAATCAGCAATAGACATAGTAAAAGATGAAAATAACCCTTTATAAATTGCATGCATCCGAAGAGTTTTTCTGGATTCACTTCTATAAGTAAAGCTCAATGCCAAGTATTTGAAAGCCAAGGATGTATATAGATATAAGAACTAAAACACGTGAAGAACTATATGACAAAAACGGACCTTAATTAATAGCCAAATGCAAAGGTCGAATTTCCCTGAAGGAGTTGGAACTTTCATTTCTTTATAATTTCTAAATCAACATACAATTTAAGAAAATTTTGTTATAAATCATGTCGGTACCGAAGCAATGAATACTGATCTTGGGGACTAATAGATCACAGCAGCGGTATCTTCCTAGTGCTACTAAAATAGGGAACACACACTTTTATTTATTTATTTATTTATATGTGTCCGACGCGCTTTTCAGGATTTACCTTCATCAGGAACGTTCACAGTAATTTTGGGATCATTTGTCACTTTTCAAAAAAAAAAATACGCAGTTATTGTCCCTATATATCTATCAAATATTAGTCCCTCAATACATCTTATATTGAACTTAGGCACCGGGTAGATTATCATGCTGTTCTGTGTCGAGGTGATGGAGGACGACGACGATGATGCTGATGATGTTTATTGGTGTTTATATCCAGTGGGAAACAAAATGCAAACTAGGCGGAAAAAACGTGAATGGGATATTGATCGTACTTTATACAAGACCGACATGGTAAGCCGGATTTTAACGTGCCAGTTCCCAACAGTCCACAAAAGCAGATATCCCTACTCGGACAAATTATTCTGACTCCGAGCAAACTAATGACATGAATGAGTAAAAATCCAATTTTTAAGCCTTTCGAACCAACGACTCTCCGCACTAAAGGCGATCACGAGATAACCGAGGCGTTATAATTATATAGAACGTTTTTGAAAAAAAAAGAATTTAGTGAAATAGTTTAAATTGATAAATGTATAACATGGTAAAAAAAACAACCAGTCTACTATCTAGAATAAATCATTTCAGTATTTTTGAAGTGTTTTTCTGTTGTTTGAATGAAACACATTTACATATTGAATTGGCTAAACCTAAATAAGCTTTTATGGTATAAATGAAACCCTTTAGTTCTGAACACGTGTGACACAACCAATCGGACAAGCTTTATGTTTACCCTACCACCCTCACCCCGTCCACTGTTAATCTTGTTAAAGATATTATTGTTATAATTTAAATGGCCTCCAACATTAAGAAGGTAATATATGCTTGGCTGTAAATATGAAAAATAATGATAAGTTTTATCACCTCTATACATTAATGCTGTGCTTAGCCGACAAAATTATTTTCTAACATTAACATTAGTTATAGCCACTACATTAATTTATGAAATTGGACAGAGGAAAAATCACTTATTCATGTCTACTTTCTCCCTTCTGCTTAGTTTGCAAAGTTATTGATTTGCAGCAGTTTTAACTCATTTTTAAATTGTATTCTAGTATGCATTGTTTCAGAAAATTAAAAAGACTTTGTGATTGCTTTGTTTATCTTTCCCACAGAAGGTGTTAAAATTAACTAAGTTTGAAAAAGATTTGAAATGTTCACTCATCTACTAACTGTAGTGAGTTGCATTGCATGACATAGCCTACAGAGGAACAATATATATCTGCACAACAAAAGGTGACTTAAACTGAGTATAATAGTGGACCGTATCAAATGAAATTCCGTGTGTCTGTTTCTTTAACCACCTCCTGCTGGTTTGAAAAAAAAATGAATCTCAAATTCCATGAAAGTTTGTATTATCTGAAACATAAAATGCGTTTAAAATTTATTTATCCAGTCTCTTCCGTGCCTTTAAACTTTGCTGTGGGTACTGGGTTGTCGGTACTCAGAATTTTGGTGGTAAGACGCGGCCATAATTGTAAATTCCTTCTGGAGTAATACCAACATTGTTTTTCTCCTATTAGTCTTTGGTAAATTGGCATTTTTTCAAAAAATTGTGCAGAATTTATCTTTGTTTAAAATAAAGAAATACTTGGCACGAGTAAAGTTTTATCCTGCCAGTAATACAGTGAAAATTTCACATAACATGTCATTGCATATAAGATAATAACTATCCCCGGAAGTAAACCAATCAAATTTTCACCACTTTTTTTCTGTTAATAAGTTTTAGTAACCATGTCCCCAAATAAAAAAAAGAATGGATCTTTGAAACTCCCAAGATATATGTTTATGACTCAGATTTTTTTTTTCTGCAATGAAATGCAGGGTTAATTTCCTACAACTTTCAAATTAAAGGGAATATTATTTTTCGACCCTTTTTCGTATGAAACCGGATGTGACGTACTATGATCTGGTGGTATAACACCTTCTGGTGAACCTTAACAATTATAGTTATTCACTTCATAGACCAGTGCATTTTGCAAACTCACCTTGAACATCAGCTCCCCATCCTATAACAACGCATTCTTGTCCGACCTTAAATTCAGAATTTTCTGTCGTCAAGCATATTGGTTGTACATAGTCGTTCAATTCAATAGGCCAAGCCGTTTTCAAAATTGCAATGTCATCGTCCAGAAATTGAAAGTTAAACCCAGGATTTTGAATAATTTCTTGAATACCATATTCTTTTTGATTTGGTTCCATGGAAGCGCGTGAGTGAACCCCAACATCCGCTTTCCAGTCTGCAGGATTTGTTGCCCTGTGAAAAATATTTTATTAACAATTACGGTAATTAGCGAAGATCACTTCTTCAATATACCTCACCAATGACATCTTACGGAACTATTACAAGAATCCGTCAGAAATATGTGAGGATGTTTGTAATTTAATAAACTCTTCAGGAAATCTACAAAAAAAGGATTTTGTGAGCTCAGATGAGAAGCCGGATTATGAAGTGACCTTTAAAGTTCAAAGACCATTTAGGTTTCATTGTCTTGTCTGTTGGAAATTATGCATATACATGTACATGATTTAGAACAAAAGTGGTTACGGCTTTTTATAAAGGTGGTTCATGTTTTAGGCAATGACGTACCTTTATGCTGAAGCATCAAAATGTTTTCACATAACAGATGAAAAAACTGCCATACCTATATTTTGTACAATGAGGAGCATCTACATCCATAATTGCCTGACTTGGACATTTTTGTGAGTCCTAATTTTTTTATTAAATTCTGGCACAAGTTGTATGGTAAGTAAAATTTCTCACTTTCATCATATGACGATTTGTCGACTAATCTAGTTTGTAAATATTAGGATTACGTATGTCCTTATCATGATAAGTTAAAAGGGATAATAGGTATCACCATTAATACCTCACTGTACAACAGACAACATCAACTATACAAACATCCGACTCATCAGAAAATGAACAACATGCAAACAAAGACGAGCAAAAACAAACAACACATGATCTAGATACATTTGTAGTCCGACTTGGTGCAATTACACTATGTGGTGTTTGTGTTTTATTTTGGATTTACTTAAACCATATAAAGGCATATATGATATGATAGAACCTATGAAAAAATCTTAATCTATGATATATTAATATCAGGACACGGCATTATTATTAATCTGAGCTCTCTAAGGTTTCCACATTACTAAAACAATATAAATGACTTCAAACCACCTTTTCCCTTCTGAAAAAGCGATCATAGCATATTGCCAATGATGATTTATAACCAACCTGTTTTTAATGTTTAATATTTCATAAAAATAAAATCTGGATAAGAGAGTACTTATGAATAAGGAAACTTTTATTTTTATTGGTGTATCTATAGCAACCACCATTTTAAAGCAACAATACTAGCCATCAGGAAAAATTACATATTGAGTGTGTTTATTTTAAAATACATAAAGAATTATATTACATTTGAGCAACAAGAACCTCAAAAAACTTTTCGGGGGTAAACAAACTCATCATTGATACCAGGATTAAAATTGTGTACGCCAGACGTGCGTTTCGTCAACAAAAGACTCATCAGTGACGCTCGAAAAAAATAAAGTACGAAGTTGAAGAGCATTCAGGACCCAAAAATTCCGAATGGTTTTGTAAAATACAGCTAAGGTAATCTATTCCTATGGTAGAAAATCCTTTTTATTTATTATTTATTAGTATGACCATATCAATGAAAATTCATGTCAACACAACGTTGATTACTAGGCTGCTGATGATATCCTCGTGGAGAAACCTCAACCAGCAGTGGCATCGACCCAGTGGTTGTAAACTCATCATAGATAAAATAAAAAAATAATCATTATCAATTTTAGTAAAATCATTTTCATTTTGCATAACATCTCAGAAAAAAAAGTTTATAAAATGATATGTAATCGATTTTCGTTCGTTCACTCAAATAATTCCTCCATATATACAGAATGATTGTCCCCTACATCGTTGTGTACGAGTTGTGAACCTTTTATGACATACTATTTAAGTTAAATTCATTTAAATTGGTGTATTCAAATATTGAAAATAAAGATACCCATCGACACAATGCGCTGCTGTAACGATTACAATATTTCCATCGGCACCTCTAACCAGCGACCCTCCGCAGGTTATTGTAGCTGTTCTAAATCTCAGCAGCACCTGTAATAATAGTCATTTTGCATTCATTATGTTTTGTCATGTTGCCACGGACTTCAAGCGTTTCAAATACAATATTCCTAATTGAAAAAGTTGTTCTGTGTAGGTACATTTGGTTTTGACATTTTGGATGTTTTATTGTATCCAAAAATTCTATTTTTACGAGTGTACTTTAATCTAATTCAAGAAACGCGTTTCGTGCTTTCTGAAATTGATTTCAGACTTCTTGTAGGCTATTAGTACCCAAAGTATCTTAACCCAGTAACAAATGCTCGGCAATGGCATATGTATAATTGATATAGTACATTTTGATGATATATCCAATGAAGTTGACCTTAGGTGGATTTCACTGTTCTAATCCTAATTGTTTTGATGCTCTTAAAAAAAATGTTTTAGGTTCCAAAACTTAGTTTCGAGCGTACCTGTTTGATGGAGATTGATCCAGAGACACGTGTCATTAGAACTGAAGTCGGTATAATTATTTTAAATGCCATGTTTTAATTTGTTTAATACCTACAGTTCTCGCAAGTTTTCAATGATATTTTGACGGACTAGTGGATCATGAACTGTTTACCCTTCAGTGCTTTTGAGTCAGCATCTTGTTATGTGGTGGGGTTCATGTTGTTAATGTTATGTGTACAAAAATATTCAGCAATATCTCGGACAATTCGACAAACAGCACCGATCGAAAAGATTTTGTTACTTGTGTTTCCTGAAAAAGTGAATAATATAGAAGTGTGACATTGTAAGCGTTTCAATGGATATATCCTCCTTTCCAAGGAGCGGGTCCTCTGTCATATTATTCGTTTACTGCAAACGTTCTTTCCATTAAAAGGAAGGAAGCACTAAGTCTGTCTTGCTTATAGGTAAATGTAACTTGAGTACATGATGTCATGTGTCCTTAGCGCTTTTCTGGATTTACCTTCACCAGGAACGTTAAATATCGAATATACGAAAGCCAAGGGTGTGTTAGGACCGAAATAGTTGAAAAGCTATAATACCAAAAGGACCAAAATAATAGCCATATCCATATAAGGTCAACTTTGTCTTAGGAAGTTAAACTATAGTTTCTTCATAATTTTTAAATTTATAAACGATTTAAGGAAGGTTTGTTACAAATCATGTCAGAATCGAAGTATTACACTCTATACTAATAGGTGTAACTAGAAATTGTACAGAAGAATAGGCGTGTTTAAATAGAAATTGTTTAATAAGTTATCCGTGCATACGAAATAACATATTAATGAGAACCATAATCAAAATGCAATAGCATTAATGGTTAACTTCGATAAACATACCATCCAAGGCCAGCTATGTGGTATAGACTCTTTACCTCCAACAATGCGCGATACACGTGATGCGCTACTGTGTTGGTGTGGTTTTATGACTTGTATTCCACAGGTGCCATTTTGTGCTAATATACCTGTAACCATTGAGTAATTAATATAAATGTAAAAATATGAAGATGCGGTTTGAATTACAAATGAGACAACTCTCCACCAGAGACCAAATGACATAGAAGTTGCAAACTAAAGGTCGCCGTACGGCCTTCAACAATGAGCAAAACCCAGTCCGCATAGCAAACTTTAAAAGGTCCCGAAATGACAAATGTAAAACAATTCAAACGAAAAAACTAACGGCCTGATTTGTGTACAATACAATGAACAAAAACAAATATGATATACAGCAACAAGCAACAACACCTGTATTACAGGCTTCTGCCTTGGGACAGGCACATACGGAATGTGGCGAGGTTAAACATGTTTGCTGGTGTCAAACCCTTCTCCTTACCTGGGACAGTGGTGTAACAGTACGACATAAGAACAAACTATAATCAAAGTACTGAAGTACTGAACATCGGATGACCGCAGGTTCTTGTGGATGGTCAAAAGCACATGTCACAGAAACAGATCACATCTCTATACCTGAAACTGAGGTTAATTTACAGAGATTTTTTTTTCTTATACAAGTTCGTGCTTGGATGATGAATAAATGACAGGAAATTCAACCTCACCGTAATAACTATTATATTGTAGTGATACAAATCAGTATACCTTAGACTATTATACTAATATAATAATAGTTCCAGAGAATACACTGGTTTGTTGTTATATATTATATTAATATTACGGTTGCATGTATATATAATTTTCATCTATTTGTATATCATACTATTCTACTATTATTATAGTGTAATGCAAGTGCATGGTGGACACTCTTCTGTAAAAAAAAAATCAAAGTCTTAAAGGCTGTAAAAGCAATTGCTGCCATGTTAATGTTTTGTGGACTATTATTTTTCATCCATATATATCAGAATTAAACCTGACAGGACAGGAGTGTTGACTATTGAGAAGCAAGACGGTTTTAACTTTATATCAATATATATATAAGACTTTAGCAGGAAATCATTTTAAATATGTTTTATATTTTACAAGGAGACAACAAGTTTACCAGGCTAAAGTTGGGGTTAATTATACATGTGCTGAAACATATAACTGAAAAAAGAATCATTATGGATTATCCCCTGGTAGTGTTTGTAACTGGGCAATAATTTCCTTTATTGATTTAATTTTAACCATTTTCATAATTAATTTAAATTAACCATTCAGTTAAAACATTTCAACTTTCCAGACGCAAATGTTGAAAAACGGGACAGAAATAAAATATCTTACAAGACATAAACATGTAAAAAATAAATATATATTTCAGCTTACTAAAAATATTTTCATAATGTTACTTTGACATCATTTCTTAAAACTAAGTCCCAAACATAATTGCTCAGTTGACATGTGTCATCCTCATGCGATACGAGATAACTATAATTCTGATGCAATCCCGAAAAGGGGGGTCATCACAAACAAACATGACATTAAATTGTCATTATACGAACTAGAACAAACAGCTCTATGTTGCTTTGATATTTATCAATTTTCAGGAAACATGTGAAATAAATTTCAGGTCCATTTCATTATAGTGCCTAACAAGATTGTGTGAGGTAGACGAAATTGACCTTAAAACGATCGTATTGTCTTTTGCTGTCCAAAAATAGGCAGATCGGACATATAAGGACTTTATCTAATGGCTACATAAATTTGGGATTTATTATTATTATAATATTCTAATGAAACTGAAAATTGTGTATTTTTTTTTAGGATAAACAACAATTTTACCTGGCGTAGCCGTTCATAAATGTTTTTCTGCATTTATCTTCGAAAAATGGCGTATTTAATGGAATAGAACGTTAATACAGTAAACTTTCTCTTTTTTCTCCGCAATAGGCTATCAAAAATAATTTATCTAATGTGTATGTGGAAAATTATGTGAAAAGATAAAAAGTGGCAATTGTTACCTTTCATACCTTAAGTTTCGTTCATCTGATTCTGACCAATGCTTATATACTAAATATCTATTTATATGCCGCTATTATTGTTGTTGTTACCAATTATGTAAATCAATTGTATCTGATTGTATGCCCTTTATGGGCCCTGTAATTTGGGAAATAAAAAAAAAATCTATTCATTGATAAAACGTAATATGGACTGGTCCAGTGTCCAGTTTGCAGGTCATTTAATTTTCTGTACACATTCATGCACGCTCTGATTTAATCAATATACTCGTACGAAAAAGCATGAACAGTTTGACGGTAATCTAATAATAACTTAATCCAATCAAATTGCATAAGATTCAATAACAATGTCAAGTCCACATCATAATGAGTAATAGAGGTAAACTGGGTAGGGAGAAAATGACAGATATTTCAAGTTAATATTTATGCAATAACGAATTAAAATTTGTCAACCAAACGTTTTGCTACAATTTCAAAAACATGTCGTTCTGTATGGGTATAGTTTTCGGATCTTTCATTAGCGTATTTAAGGCTATATAAAGTTTGGGCTTCAAAAGTTCACACAATTATTGACTTTATACAGAAAATTCGTCCTTGTAAAACATTTAATAGTTCACAAATGATACGCGATTTTAAAGTAAAATTATTTCTTAAAACACTGCAAAAAATTTCATTCATATTGATAAAGTGGTATCGTCATAAAGTGCGTTGAAATGAACAGTGGTATAGCAAACATCGAATTCCCTCACAAAATGTTATCACACACTACAGTGAGGGGAGTCAGTTAAGTTTGTCTATTTTTAGATACTATACAGGTAATCTTTTGACACTACGTATATAACCTGTGTGACCTGTGTAGTGATTTTGATTTTACGATAAATTCATGAATGAACGATAATTTTATGAATGAACATGAGCACCTGACCTCTTTCTTAAACACCTATTAAACATATAAAACCGTATTTAATAAGGAGATAATTCAGTCAAATTTTCAGTACTAAATCAACAACTGAAATGATTCCATTTTTTGATGAAACATCGTACGAACGGAGAACGGAATCGCAGGTATAAAAATGCACTTTTTTCCCTTGTAATGACCGCGGATCTATAATTTTTATAGATCGGTTGAAATCCCAAAACTAATTTGCATAATGGAAATTTAGGCGATAGCAATACATCGGAGTGACCTCAAGGTCATCCTCTGTAAAAATCGGTTGAAATGAGCTTAAACTCATCAGATCGATAAAAAGCATATATAACCCCCAACACAAACACAAAAGACACAAAGTACAGATCTGAGAGTACTCGCGGTCAATTGATAGCTAGTTAAAAGCTAATAACAACTAATACAAAATCATGTGTCTAAGACTAATATATCAATCAGTACACATCCAGCTTCCAATGTATTTAGTGTAAAGACGTCATAAACAGTCACAGAAAAACATGACCGTGGGCAATGCTAAAATATATGTCAGACAGATTGTAGAACCGTGAATGTACATATGTGTATAACAATAATATTCAGTTTGGTTTTAATTTCCTGATAACAAAGTCAATATTTATACAGATAAAAACAATATTCAAAGATATAATTACAGTGTTGAATCGGTAACCTTTTAGAATAAGTGGTTATTAAAGAGCAAAATGTGTGGGAGGATAAAGATTAAAACGTGTAATCTCAACTAGTCGATACAGAATTAGAACATACATTTCTGTATGAATTCTCATAATTTGGCAAGTCATTCATAGCTGTAGTTTTAGAATCTATTTCCAAGGCATCTAAAATTTACTGACATAATTGAAAATACATGAACGGCATAAGTAAGGACTGCAGTTAGGAACTCACATACATACATGATGCAGTAATGTATAAACACATTCCCGTTAACAATGTCGTCGTGTGTGCGTCATAGAATCAAGCAAAACAACCAAACATGCAAACAATAAAGGGTATATAGGGTGAATAAGTCAATATACGATATCGCCAACAAGAAGTAATGGGAAACGACATTGACATACGCTGAGTTTTAAATTGATAAAAAAACCGGTAAATTCTAAAGTTTGCTCTTGCTTTTTTGCCATGATTGAACGCTTCCCGCTATGACTATTTTCACTTGTGAGGATTCAGATCCACAAATTATATATTATCTGTGTATATAGATACTACTTATACGAGAAACATCCACCCGACTGTAAAACACTTCTCCTCTATGAAAATTTCATACGATTTGAATTGCCATCATATGTACTTGACCTAACTATATATCGCAGTTTTGATTCGACAATTATTTTTGTAGTTATGGCAATGTGGTTATTTATGTTATACTGAAATACAACCCGTCGTGGTCGCTATTTGACACCCTATGCCCGATAGCTTTCGTTGCTATGTCAAATTGTTTGTCATTATATAGAATTGACCTATCTCATTGCAATATAGATCCCGTGTACACGCTTACAATAATCTGACACCGGACGCTCTGTATTACTTTCTCTTTCAACATTTTTGAAAATTCATTGCTTGCGACGCCTCCGTTTGATTCAACAACTTTTTGTAGCAAGTTATGGCACTTCATACATGCATAATGTAGTATATTGACACATCGTGAACGCTTCTCTGAGACAATATGTCCGAAAGCTTCCATACTTAGATTTTGATGTCACTATCTGTTGATTGTCAAACATTTTAGGTAGATTGATTTGTCGATTTTTGCGCAAATAATTTGACGTTGACCTTTTTTTTTTTGGCATTTGTTGCATATTGACACCTTGTAAATATCGCTTCCCCAGTTTCTGAAATCTATTCCATACTTTGTAGGAATTGTTAATTAACGTCATGTATAAATGACCATACTGTCACTTCATAATCATTTGACAGTGTTTGAATGAGGTATGATACTTTTAACATTTTCACCTTTTGAGTATGTAGGTATATGATAATGTCAATTTCGACATTGACTTACAATTAAATGGTACGACTGTATTTGATAAGGAATATAATAATCCGAAAAAGTATTCTCTCTCATTTTTCAAAAGATAATGAGATAATATTAGACTTTAATCAATTCTGTGAAAATTGAGGTTTCAACTTACCCTCAGAAAAACTGATTGCTAACACAATAAGCCAATGCCACATCTTGAATAGAAGTGTATAATGTAGTGTATAATCTTTTGCGTACTGCTAGTTATCATTATATCCTTGGGGTCAAGAAGGGTGAAACGTAATACATTAAATGACGATGTAAGCATATTTGAATTTTAAGTGATGCACTAATGAAATATAGATTTTAATCGAAGTGCTTGAATTAAGTCGCATTCTTAATAGTGTATGCAGTAGGAAAAACTATCATGTAAATCCCTCCTGATGGAAGTTGGACTAAAATCGTGACATCTAACAGATTTATATTGATAAGACATATACATATTTAATATACTGAACTACATGTGGCTACAACATAATTCATAGTTAAGATATTCCTTTATAAGTATCTGTTATATTTTTTTTCCACATGAACAAAATTTACAAAATTTGTTCCTTACGGATTAAAGGATATAGAATATGTGTGCTCTCGGAACACATTTTATGGCATTGATTATAACTAAAATGTCCACGGGAACATGTGCCGTTCGGAACAAATGTACGTGACAATATCCGAGTTACCTGCGTTAGGAAAATATTGTACTTTCAGCGGTTTATTGTAATTACTTCTACAGTTGTATTTAAGAGTGAATGTTTGAAAGTAAAATTAGATACACTTCCTAATGTTCATTGAAGTGTGCATTGTAGGACATGTTTTATGTGTTTATATCTATGAAAGTGGTGAACAATTACACATGCTTTGTTCCTCTCTCTTTCGGATAATTGATAGCTAAACTGGTTTTCTATCATTACTCTGATTGCCTTTTGCAAAGATTAGAGATTCCTACTCAAACTCATAGGTCGCTCTGATTCAAACAAAAAATTCTCTGAAACTGACATTATCAAGGTGCTTGATTTCTTGATTGACAACATATTTGTTACGTTTGGAGGACGTGCTTTGCAACAGACTGTCGGAATTCCAATGGGAACCAATTGTGCCCCTCTTCTTGCCGACTTGTTTCTTTATCATTATGAGGCTGACTTCATACAGGAACTTCTTAGGAAGAAAGATAAGAAGTTAGCAATATCCTTTAACTCTACGTTCCGCTATATAGATGATGTTCTCCCACTAAATAATACAAAATTTGGTGACTATGTTGAACGAATCTATCCCATCGAACTAGAGATAAAGGATACTACAAATTCAGTTAAGTCTGCCTCATATCTTGACTTACATCTAGAAATTGACAATGAAGGTCGGTTGAAAACAAAGCTTTACGACAAAAGAGATGATTTCAGCTTCCCAATTGTGAACTTTTCATTTCTATGTGGCAACATTCCAGCAGCGCCTGCATACGGAGTATATATCTCCCAATTGATACGATATTCCCGGGCTTGTGTTTCCTATCATGATTTCCTTGATAGAGGATTTCTGCTCACAAGGAAACTATTAAACCAAGAGTTCCAAATGGTGAAGTTGAAATCATCCCTTCGTAAATTTTACGGACGCCATCACGAGTTGGTTGACCGTTATGGAATAACCGTTTTACAAATGATATCGGATATGTTCCTTATGTCGTAACTACAATACCCTTCCCTTTTCACGAATGTGACTTACCGAATTAGACTATTTACCGGATTTGTAATAACATAAGCAACACGACGGGTGCCACATGTGGAGCAGGATCTGCTTACCCTTCCGGATCACCCCCAGTTTTTGGTGGGGTTCGTGCTGCTTAGTCTTTAGTTTTCTATGTTGTGTCATCTGTACTATTATTTGTCTGTTTGTCTTTTTATATTTGGCCATGGCGTTGTCAGTTTGTTTTCGATCTATGAGTTTGACTGTCCCTCTGGTATCTTTCGTCCCTCTTTTCGAAGACAAACTGAAGAAATCATGAAAAAAAAAACGAAAAACGACGACAAGACTAACAACAGTCTACAAAATTGTGCATAAAAAATAAGAACTAAGCAACATTACCACCCCCCAAAAAAACGGGGGATCTCAGGTGTTTCGGAAGGGTAAGCAGATCCTGCCACACATGTGGCGTTCGTCGTGTGGCTCAGGCAAGTACTTATTCGGTGATAAGTCTCATTCAGGTTATGTCACATTCGAGGAAAAGAGAACGGAATTGTGGTTATGCCAATTGAAACATATTCGTCGTCATCTTTGAAAATGATATTTCATAACTGTCAACCAACTCTTGATGGGGTTATTAAATATTTCGAAGGGATGACTTCTACTTTACCACGTTAAATAGCTTCCTTGTAAGAAGCAACCCTATATCAAAGAAAACATAAGTCATCAACAAGTTTGATTAAAAAAACGGCTGATTTCTCAGTATGTATTTCAAAATTCGTTTTCATGTGTAAATTAAATGTAAGAACTTACAGACAAATAACAAAGAACAAATTGGTCAAAAGTCAGAGCGCAAGTTAATTATGGTTTGACATTACAACAAGCAGTCTACAGACACATTATTGAGTTTTTGCAAATGTTTTACGTGGCGATCTCATTAAACTGACTGCAGATTTACATCCCTGTTGGTAAGTAGATTTAACATCCCCGTTTTGGCCGGACATGGCTGCGTATTTATATATCGTGCACGAACTAAGGACACCGCCGCAAAGCTCTTACAGTGAGTTGGGAGAAGTCTGGGTAATATTGGTACACCTCGATCATCCTTCGCGTTTAAAGAATATCAAAAGAATATTCAGCTTTCAAAATAAATAAAAGTAAACACTAAAAACAAATGAAAAAAACGCAAAGTTTATTGAAGAAGAAAAATACTTATTATAAGCATTAAGTAAATTAATCAATTTAATTGATACACATTTAAATGAAAACATCAACACTTACATGATATTATGTACAATTTTACACTGTGTTGAAAACTTAAGGGGCATTATGTTTTTTGGTCTGTGCGTCCGTTCGTTCGTCCGTCCGTTCGTTCGTTCGTCCGTTCGTTCGTCCCTCCGTCTGTCCCGCTTCAGGTTAAAGTTTTAGGTCAAGGTAGTTTTTGATGAAGTTGAAGTCCAATCAACTTGAAACTTGGTACGCATGTTCCCTATGATATGATCTTTCTAATTGTAATGCCAAATTAGAGTTTTGACAACAATTTTACGGTCCACTGAACATAGAAAATGATAGTGCCCGCTTCAGGTTAAAGATTTTGGTCAAGGTAGTTTTTGATGAAGTTGAAGTCCAATCAACTTGAAACTTAGTACACATGTTCCCTATGATATGATCTTTCTAATTGTAATGCCAAATTAGAGTTTTGACCCAATTTTACGGTCCACTGAACATAGAAAATAATAGTGCGAGTGGGGCATCCGTGTACTATGGACACATTCTTGTTATCTAATATCTAAATACACTTCGATACAATTGTCTTTTAAAAAAAAAGGATTCAAAGGTGGTTTTTTTTCATTCAACGTAACACAAAATCCATTTCGGAGGAATTCACTCCTTATTTTGTATTCTACAAGATTCCTGTATTTAGTGGGAACAACTTTAAATCTATAAGTTTATCGCATTTACACAAAGATTGTAATAAAGAGGAGTATATACAGGGTTCATGTTTCTCCAACATTTGATATTTTTGTATACAGGAAAATTATTTTTTGTTGGAGAAACGTGATTATTATGTACTAAGGATTAATGATTTTACCTGTAATTATATATAACTTCATTTCCTCTATGATGGAGATTTGGTTTACATGCAATATATAAAACAAACAAACAAACAAAAAATGTAAGTTCAAGTTAGGCAAAAAACGTAAGCAATGTCTATTATGGCGATTACGGACACATAAACTATCGATTATCAAAACCTCTGCAGAGTTTTTCCACATGATGATCACAAATCTAATTCGAATGATGTACTGCATGAAAGAATTGTAGTTGTGAATGAATTCAGATGCAGAGAGGCTGTCCATAAAGATACTAAACTCAATTGGATTAATGTTGATTATGTCCTGTCATAGATCATCTTGTTTGTAAAATCACAAGATACATGTACCAGAAAATGTTAAACAATATTTAAGAAGAATTTGCCACATTTGTTACAAATTAAATGTTCATCTTCATAACGTACTACAGACAATAGGTCAATAACATACTTGGTAGAGGCATGAAGTTCAGGAAAATGTTTTGCAATTGTCCATGCTACATTGAATCCATTGTAAATCAAACAAATGAACTGATAGGAGAAAAAAGTAAAGCTAAGTTTAAGAAAAAATATTAATCTTTGGTAAAAAGTGCAAACATACACCAGGAGGAAAGAAGAAGGTGTTTGTTGACATTTTTATGTCATTGAGATGTTAAAGAGCAATCTGCTTTTTGAAGTTTTGTAAAAACGGTGATCTTTTAACTCTGTTTTTCTTAGATGCTGATGATAATGATGAACTATTTTGACAGACAATTTTATTTTTTTTTTAATTTTTCCTTATAATTTGATAAATTAGATTATCTATTGACCTTGCATGTGTTTCTCGATAATATTTCCTTCACGATCCTATCGCAATACTTGACCACCGTTACTTATTCTTTCACGATAATTTTTTCTCGATATACCGAATGACAGTTGTGCAGCAGGTCATGTATTGTTTTATGAGTACCAGGCTTGATGTTTACAAGTGATTTTATCTTTTAAAAAATACCGGACCAATTGCAATTCAAACTTGATCACGTTTATCATTCTGGCGAATTAAACTTCAGTTTCCTTATATGTAACACCAGTTCATGTCTTAAAAAGAAGAAATTCACATATATTCTCTTGAGATGACCAATTCAAATTACATTTCAGAAAAATACTGCTCATTGGGGTCAAAGAATGTATTTGGATCACATATCGGAGCATTTGCAACTTTGTTAGACGTACATAGCTTTAGCATACTCCTATACTCACGTTTTGTTTGTTCAGAGAAAATGATATATACAAAAGGGAGAACAAAGAAACTAAGCGTTTGTATAAGTAGGATGACAAACTCAACGTTGGTGAGGCGGTCTAAAACGGAAAACATATTCACTTCCTTCGCAATGTTAACGATTGTCAACATACACC